TCCGTGCAGAGGCTACCGCTTTTCCAACTAACAATGGGTAGCCCGACAAGAACATAATACTCCCGAGTAGCAATGGAAAAGTGGAATTTGCACACATCAGTTCAGAGCTGAGTTCTTTGGAGCGGATCCCGGAAACAGTTCCGATTGAGAGGTGCTCGCCAGAATCTCAAAGCGTAGTCATTTGAAGTTTTCACGACAAAAGATGTTAACTCAGTGTCTGAAGAGAGGACAGAAAACCTCAAATAAGCAGCGGCGTGGACTTCAATGTGCTTCGAACGCGTAAGACTCAAAAAGAACGGCACCATGGCTTCTCAAAACAGAAACATGCAGTTACTGGGGTCAAATTCATCGCCAGCTAGAACTGATTTCCGACAATCACATTTCATTTATCAAATTTGCAGCTCAGTCGCCTGGATAATCGTTCAGCAACATAAAGCAGATAATTGCAATTTACAAATCCGTGGTATAATAAAAAGCTGCTTCCTTAACTCTATTATTATTTCATTTACTACTGAAGTACTAGCTATTATTATTATTATTATTATTATTATTTAAGTTTTTCATTTTTATGCGTTTTGTGCTGCGTAATAGCAGTACAAAACGCATGTTGTCACGGGGTTGTCTGTGTGTGTATTTGTGTGTGTGTCCGCAGCAACTTGTCCGCAACTTTCAACTCGGGAACCACAAAAGCTAGGAAGCTGAATAGGGTAACGTTTCCCACCCACGTGTGACCCCACAAATTTAAATTCAGCTTCCCCGTACCCACGGGTAACGTGTACGGCCGGACGTTCCCCACCCATGTGTGACCCCGCAAATTTAAATTCAGCTTCCCCGTACCCGCGGGTAAGACGTTCCCCACTCACGTGTGACCCTTCAAATTTAAATTCAGCTTCCCGGTACCCACGGGTAACACGGCCTACGTGTGACCCCGCAAATTTAAATTCAGCTTCCCCGTACCCGTGGGTAGCACGCATGGCGTCGTGAAAGTTTCTTACGGGTAAATTAATATCTTGGGAACCATCTAAAAGGATATTTTAGGGTAATGACCTCCTGCTCACGCTCAACCTTGCCTATTCAAATTCAGCATTCCCGAGCTTTCGGCTATCACCTACGGGCTAGTGAAAATTTTTACGGGTAAATTATTTCGGGAATTACGGAAAGATATTCACCACTCAAGGTTTCGAATTCAGCTTTCATGCGCTGGTGCGTGAAATTTTTAACTATTTTCCAATGTTTGTATTTTGCTATTTAGCTTTCATACGCTGGTGCGTGAAATTTTTAACTGTTTTCCAATGTTTGAACTATTTTTGCATAGACTAAAATAGAAAGCAGTGAAAATCATTAATAGGAAATCGTTCGATGGACTGAATCGCATAAACTTCACATTTTGATGTGTGTGTCGTAATCAATCCTTTTCGATGTTTTAGGCAATGTGTGGATGGATTACGGGAAATACACAACTGCTCTATATGCAATTCTGATTTGGAAAGGAGGGGAAGCAGAAGATGCAAAATAATACAGGGCTGCGATAAACTGCCTGAGGAGTGGTAAGTTGATTTCAAAAGAAAAAACTCAAAAAAAGTGGGCATGAGCACAAGATTAGTTACATCAGAGTAAACTGAATGAAGCGGGAGCGAAGTATGCTTGATGCCATGAAAAGAGACATTTATTGTTTGGCCGGAAATAGTGCTATGAAGTATAATTAAGGATAATCGCTGTTTTGCTCCTCGGATCGCACATTCGTCTGCGGGAGAAATTGATATTTTCGATTTATGCGCATAAGGGTGGTGGCGGGCTGAATGCCAACGAGCGATTTTGTAGAAAAACATAACTTTTATGTTAATGTCTTTGTGGAACATCCACGTCAGTGGCTTTTTTATTAAGCATTTCTGCTATGCGGCGCCATGTTGCTGCTACAGTGAGCAAAAACTCACATTGTCGCTCTCCTTGGAAAAAAGCCCCCTTTTTCCGTTGATTTGAAATATCGCATGCTTCTAGCCTTTTTTTACAAACGATTTTTGAGTCTTTTGTGGACATTACAGAACGTCCACCGCTCATAAAACAAGTGAAACCACTGATTTCTTCAAAAAAAAAAAAAAATTTATTCTTACAGTTGTCAAGGAGTTTGAACTGTTTCGTACTGATACAAAAAAAAGCAGAAATATGAAATGGAATCACAATCGAACAGAAATTAAAAGCAAACGAATTTTGGGTAAACCGGAGATAGCCAAAAAATATGAATTCGGAATCAAATGAAAATTTTTTGCAACATATCAAAAATAAGCGCCTAGCAACGGCAAGACAGATTTTTTACGTTGATGGACAAATAGATGAATCACTTGCTGAAAAAAAAAAAAAAAACAAAAAAAAAAGATAGAATATGCTGATATTTGCAGAGCGTGCCTGAAAACATCAAGGTAATGCACAGCAGCTGATGGACTTGCAGAAATGACCACTAACGTCCACTTCTGGGTTCCAGTCAGTGCTTTATTTAAATGTGCCAATGAAAAAAGAAAAAAAAAAAACCCCTAACAAACTATTCCGACGGTCACTTGTCCAGCTCATACCACGGAAAATAA